ATTTTCATACAGAAATTTATTTAATATGATTACAGAGAAATTTCATCGAAGGACCTTAACTAATATAAAAATATATATATATATATATTAAATCTCTCTCCTACTATCTAAAATTGGAGGGGAATGTTTCACTATAATTTCCCCATGATGTAATTTGAAAAATAAGTTGAATTATGATCTAATTATCTAATTTTTTGTAATAAAAGAGTAAACAGGCTTGGCAACAACTAAAAAAATGATTTTTTTTTTTTCAATTTTCTTTTACTTCACTAATTTTTTCAAAAAAATTTGTGTCAATCATTTTTACTTTTCCAGATCATCTAATTTAGGATGATCTAAAAAGAAAAAAAATTATGAAACATATATAAAAACAAAAATAAAATGATACGTTTATTTTTATTTTATTTTTATCTTTAATGATTTTTTATTTTTATTTTTTAACTTCAGAAATTTTTTAGCCTAAACGTCTTTTAAAAGAAAAAAAAGGGAATCAAAAACCGGCTAAAAACACAATTCCCAAAGTAAGTAGAGTCTCACATTCGAATTAAAAATTGAAATCTATCATTCTACATTATAATTGAATATGTGACGAATTAAAAATTGAAATCTATCATTCTACATTTTATTAGGGTCTCAAATATTTTGATATATAAACCGACCCGAAACCCGAAACCCGTCTAACCCCACAGGGGAAGTCGTTAAGACGGTTACACATAAAGAACTTTTGGCGGGAAGTCACATTTTAATTCGTTTTGGCGCCCAACAACACATAAAGTTCCTCTCTCTCTCTCTGTGGTTTGAATTTGCTGTGGTGGTGATTTCGAGCATAGCATCTGTGAATCAGAGACCTCTCTCTCTGTAAGTTGTGTTTACTTTGAGAGTAAATGATCTTATTTGATTTCGTTTTGTTCTGTTTGTAATTCGTTCTCGAGATTATAGGGTTTTCAAAATTCAAAAATATAAATTGTTATGTTCTGATTATGGATTCAAGATTTTCAGTCTTTTTTGTTCTCTCCTTGTTCGACAGTGCTATGATTGATGATCATCAAGCATTTATGAGATTTTATATATGCGTTGAATCAAATGAGTAATTTTGAAGGTCTCTGGATATCTGTGTTGATTTATTGAACAGAATATGCTTTTTGATATTGTATTAGTTTCCTTAGAGAAGCAGATTTTTTTGTTACTAGGAAAATGCAGTAAAATTGTATAGTTTTCTGCCACCTGTTCTCCATTGGAGGTGTTATTGTTGGACTAATGAATGATTTGGTAAGCATTACCTTATTCAAACCACCATTCAAAAGAAATTAGGTTACCTCCGTAGGTATACATATTCAGATAGAGGGAAAGGAAGATGCATTGAAGAATGGTTTCACAATTATAGGCCCAGAATTTCTGATATTATTTTTTAGGGTAGGGTTTTACAAGAATGATTTGGTTGTCTTTATGCTATTACTTGATGGAGAAAATTATGGTGGAAAGGGTAATTACCATTCTACAAAAGAATTAACCTAAAAATGTTAAGCCGTAGTTTTTCTGTGCAGTGAGTTGGGGATGTATTCAGATCCTTTAGGTTTCCAGGGTTTTGGACAAAGCAATAACGAGTCTGATAGATTTGGGGACAATTCATTAGGATTTGCTTTGTTTAGAATGATGTGAGAGGGTTAGATGGTTCAAGAAGATAAATCACCAAGAGCTAGTTGGAAGAGCAATCATGACATGAAACACTTCTAGTTTGTCAAGATTCCAGCTTCAAACTCTTTTAACAAATTTGTAACCATACCTGTGCATCTAAAGACCTTTGGTGGATGCTAAGTGAAGAAAATAATTGATTCTAATGGGCATAGAAGGACACACTAGGCTCATGACTTATATGTATCACTTTCAGTTCCATAATCAAATATGCTTTTCATGTTGTATTTTCTGCTGATACTAGGACTTCTTTATTTAGGCCTCAGTTGACTGGGCAAATTCCCCAATTTCTTGTAATTTAAGAGGACCGTAAAATCTGTTGGACAATCTTCATTGTATTTAAATTAAATAATTCTGTTTGGGTACTAAACTACAAACAGAATATAAAAGAAAAATAGGAAAGGAAAATGAATGTTTGATTATAAAAATCAAACTAGAAAAAGAATTAAATAAATAAAAACAGATTTTATTTTGTTACAAAAATAAAATTAAAATCTGATTTAAATAAATAATAAAACAGAAAATAAATAAATAACATACTTGATTAATATCTTGAATAGTATTCTGATCAAGTCCAATGTTCGACACTGTGTCCTCAAGATAGATTCATCCTCTCCACGGTACTTTCAGAATATGGACGTCTATCTCCCAGGATGAAATGATCAATCAACGGAAAATAGCAGCACTACAAAATTTCCGTACGACGAACACACTAAGGCCTCGTATGGGAACAGGCTATTTTAGTAACTTTTTGGCTTTTTACGAAAAGATGTGCAGAAAAGTAGAGAGGTGATGTGACTAGTTTTAGTTGACTTTTTGACTTTTTGGCTAAAATAGTCAGTCCCCAAACGAGGCCTAAGTGTTTATACTCTCTCTCACAAGAAAATAATGCAGCAATATGAAGAGAATAGATGCAGAATTATTTTTGGACGAAATTAATGAATGCAATATCAAATGAGGGCCGGTCTATTTAGAGAAGTAATGGCACCCTTTAATTTTGAATTGAACAGGTAGCATACCTGTTGGGTTTGAATTTGGACAGATAACCGAATCTGTTTGAATTTGAAAATTAAACAGATTTCAAATCTGTTCAGGTGGAACAGATTCGGTTTGGACAGAATTTGTGAAGAGGTGTATTACAAAATTTGAATTTAATTTCCGACCAGAATTTTGAAATAAAAAACGGACAGAATTTATTTCAAAATAAATAAAATAAACTCAAATGTTTTTGGCCCAAAAAGATTAGTATTGGGCCGGATAAGCCCAATCCAACCTCACACCACACACCCGCGCCCAACTGACCGGACGGACAGCGGCGCGCGTGTGGTTATATTTGGGTCCAATGAGTCTAGCCCAATTTGCTCATATCCTCTCTCTTCTACAAACTTGGGGTGCCCCTTGGGGCCCTCCCCAAGTTATAATTCCAAGCTATATAAACCCATTCAAAACTTCCCACCAAACCAATGTGGGACAAGCCAATACACAAACCGTAAGAAATTTCCACCAAAACTTCATTTCCATGGAGTACACTTTGGCTTCAATTTTCCATTCACTCGATAATGGTTTTGAGCAACCAAATATATCACGTGAATCACAACACGGCATAGAACGCGTTACCACTTAGACCCGCCAACTTTGGCGTACGGGTCCCACCTAAATAATAGACCAAAGTTAGGAAAAAATTCTGTTTTTTTTTTTACCCAGAATTTTCCAACCATTTCTAACAAAATCTTCTCATTTTTTATTTTTTTATGAGTAGAGCTTGCTTATAAATAATTCATAAATTTTTTGCTGTTTCTCTTATCTCTAAAACAATACCATTTAAAAGATATTTTACAATTCAATGATGGCTGTGTTTCTCACAATTGAGATTGTGTTTAGATCATGGATTTGAGTAGGTCTTTGTGGAAGGAAAGGGAAAATTGAAAATTTTAGCTTTGATTTTTGCCACTTTTCCAATTTTCTTTTCCTCCATAAATGTCTATCAAATCCAAAATGCAAACACAACATGAAAGTTATAGAAAGATGTGGAGTGGCTATATGCCTTGTTCTTATGATTTAACGGATATTTACAGGATAAGAGAAACAAGTATCTTTTCATATTGTCTACTGTAATGATACTTGTATTCATTTTATTGTTACTGTAAATTGTTAGATATGTTTTTAAGTTCTTAACTGCTCGTGATTTTAGAAGATAAAAATGAAAACTTTCTTGTTTTGTCTTGTATAGCTTGATTTGATTTATAATTGACTGGATCCTTGGAACTTTATTTTTTTTCTAATATTTTGGAATAATTTTTTTTTTCTATCTTCTTTTTATTCTAGGGCATGTGATTTGATCAAATGGAGAAGGTAAAGATTTGATTTTCTTTTATGTTATTTGAGATTGTTTCATTTTACTATTCCCATCTGACGTCTTGTCATGCTGACAAATTGTTAGTATGAGATTCTTGAGACAATTGGACATGGAAGCTTTGGTTGTGTTTACAAGGCCCATAAACGTGACACCAATGAAATTGTTGCTTTGAAGATGATTTATTCTATTGATGGAGACGAAGGTGTTCCTAGTTCAGTAATCAGAGAAGTCTCATATCTGAAAGAGATGGATCATAGCAATATCGTCAGGTGTGTAGTCCCCAATGTATTCTCATCAACAATTAACAATTATTGAATGTTTTGCAAATAGAACAAACTGAACATCAAACTTGGTCATATTTCTGTTTGTAAAGTTTCTACTTAAAAAGAATAAGATTAAATAGCCAAAGAGGTTACAGTTGCAAGGCTTTCGATTTTGGCTCTAATGGACATGTTGGTCCTTTGAGATTAGGTAATATCATGGAAAATAATCTGCATTATTTTGTTTGAAGGTCAATATGCCATACAAGTACTAGAACAACAAAAAAAACAAAAATAAAATTAAAAGTTTTCTTGGTCCGAACAACATTGGGGTAGCTATAAGTGTGCTTAAAGATTTGGAAGTCCTTAAAAGAGTGAATCTGAAGAAGCATTTGATCAGTGTGCTAAATAAATTTCCATGAGAATCAGTAAGAGTGTAAAGAAAATCTTACTTGATTAATCATTTTCCATTGGCATTTTTTTTCTTCTTTTCTATACTCTTTTATTATTATTATTATTATTATTGTGGTCAAAATGACATACCTAGTATCACTTAGTTGCCAAGCAAGTATAAACATAAAGACATGTGTGCTTCATATTCCCATTAAAGAACTATCCAGTTTTCTGTTTTTTTGCTTTTAATAATATGTTTTCTTGTTTCATCCTTGTAATGCTAGTGATGTCCGAGTGTAAATAATTTTAACACTTTGATTTGATTTTATTTTTAATTTCCACATTTATCATTTATTGTAGAATCACTTTTCTGATATTTTCCGAGATAAAACTAGCCGTCTTCTATAAATAAAAATGACATCATATGCCTGCTTCCAGTGAAACATGATGTCTGATTCTGTTCTGTTTCGTTTTCTTGACCTTTGCAAATTCTGAAAGTTGTACAAAAAATGACCATATTAGGGACAAATTCTTTGTATTTTCTTCTCATGGCTAGTTTGATAAATTGTATTTCTATATAATTGATAGCTCGGTACAGGACTCATCTTTCTAGTGGAATATAGTTGTTATTTGTTGCAAATATACTTTTTGGAGTACACTGCTTGGATAGAACAGTAATCTGACTCTAGACTTTGAATAACTGGTTGTATTTAGCTAATATTTTTCTAATTATCATGGATTTTTTGAACATCTGATGGATTTCTTGGTTACAGGTTGCTAGACGTATTGGATGATGAAAAAATTTTGTGTCTTGTTTTGGAATATATGGACCTTGACCTGAAGAAATTTATGACCACTTCCGCAGATATTGCCAAGAAGAACCAAGTGATAAAAGTGAGTGAGTTTTGCTATTTTTTTGTACCATTTTTGAGAGAGATCCGATGCATGACTTGGGTATGATAATAGTGAAGTGGAAATGACACACTCCATGAAATTTTAATATGACTTGAATGTCAACAATTGTTATCATTCAGTAGCATGCAATTTCCTAGTAATGCCACCCTAGTTGTTCTACGTTAACAGTGTTACGGATGATGCTGAAGGAATTTCCCAATTAATTTCACGATTTGTTTTTCATTTTCTTCTTCTTGGCAGAGTCTTATGCATCAGCTTCTTGATGGTCTTGCCTACTGTCATTCTGAAAAACTTCTCCACCGTGATTTGAAACCTCAGAATTTGCTGATAGATTGTAGTAAGCACATACTTAAGCTAGCAGACTTTGGATCAGCCAGGGAAATTGGTGTTCCTCTTCAGACATATACTGAAGGTGAAAAGGTATTCACTTGTACATTATTCTACCCTTGCCTTCTTTTTAGCTTCAAGTCCTCTCAAACAGTTTATATTTATGACAAGTAAGAGCTTGCATGTTTCGACTTTCATTCTTAGTAACTGAATGGTATTCTGACACTGCATATTAGAAGGTGATTTACATTACTTCTTAATTCTTTTGTAACATGTTTTTTAGTTAGAAATATATACTTTGATAAATATAGCACAAACTCCTTTTCTTTCTCTTCACATGCTGCTTGTAAACGCATACTTGCAAATGAATTCGAGTTTCTTCCTATATGTAACACCAGGGAAAGAATAATGGGTTTGTAGTTGGTTTCTTCACAGAAAGGGGCAGCTCTAGCCAATTTGAGACCTTAGGCGAACAAATTAGGCAAGACCTGTAAATTCTAGTTAGTTTTCACTAATTATAAAATCACATAAGCACATTAAACTAAAAGAGAAAGCTAAAAAACTATTATTAGTATGAAAAACAGCATAAAAATTTAAACCAATCACATTAGTAAGAACAAATATTTAAACTCATACAATCAATTAACCGAAAACTAAAAAAACAAAATTGTGCTTATGGATGCTCTTTTTATTTTTTGTTTTTTAAACATAAGAGTTAAATGGCGGAACTTAGTGAACGGGATAAGGTTATAGAAAAAATACGAGGGATAGAGTTCAAATTTTTTTAAAAATAAAAATATGCATACTGCAATTACTTTGTAACAAGATGACCAACAAAATTGGTTATTATGAAAAAATATATATGTTTGTATGGGGCTTCTTGATTCAAACGCATGTTCCACATCAAAAACACATCCAAACATCAATTAATTCAATTGTTTTGAATTCTTCACTAGTCATTGTGGTATATCTTCTCATACAGTTGGGTAGTTCTTCAGGTTGCAAGTCTGTGGTACAAGGCACCTGAACTCTTACTTGGCGGCCAAAAATACTCTACTCCAGTTGACATTTGGTCTGCAGGTTGTGTATTTGCTGAGCTGGTGATCCAACAGCCTCTTTTCGATGGAGCTACTGACTTTGTTCAAGTGATCAAACTTTTCAGGTGAATTTTAATTTTTGTTTTCGTTGTATTAAAAATCTGATTCCGCTTGATTGTATTCAATTGACAGAATCAAATCAAAACATGGTGTACAAACAGAACTTTCAATTATTCGGACGCACCAATTGGACAAGTTACAAAATCACATCAATGGCTTTGACTTGTGTCCTAGCTCATCTGAGAGCTAGATTTGCCTCATTTTTTTCTCTCTTGCCTTCACCATTCTTCAAATTAGCTTCTATATAAGTTAGATATATATGCAAACATGCCCACTGATTGTTATAACTTCTTAATGCCATTTAATGGTGTAATTCTTACAATTTTCTTTTTAATGTGAAGCGTTATGGGAAAGCCAAATGAGGAAACCTGGCCTGGAGTGACTTCAATTATTTTTTTTTTAATTATCAAAAGTGTGAGATTTGAATACTTCATGATCTTTTCTGATTCATATTGAATCTTATTGGATATCACTCATCGATAAGTTTTTGAGAAAAGAATAATTTTATTATTTATATAATTCAATCAACACCAATGCCCTTTCCACTTACATGCCATCCCATGATGGCCAATCGTTCACTATCATGAAATAGTGTAGTATCCATGAATAAATATTGATAGTTGATCACTTAACCGCAATACAGATCCAGACTTACATCTCAAGCTTTTCCATAAACGGTTGAAAACAAAGCTTAATAGGTGCAAATCTCAACGCTCCTCAAAAATTCTCTATCAATTAAGGAGAAGCCACCCATAACATAGATCCTATTGTCTATGCATAATTGTGTTAATGTATTACAGTGGGAAGGAAGAGAAGAGAATCTCAATTTGCAGAAGAATTAAAAGGGCAAAAGGAATTTCCATTATTTTAAATTGAATTCATGAATTTATAGAGTTACTATTTATACTTTTGGGGATTTTTGATGGATTAGCCTTCATACTGCAATAATTGATAGATTTCTCATGTATTATGCTTTATCCGTAGGAGCTTTGTGAGTTGTCCAATAATGAAGTAGATGGGAGCTAGTTCATCCTCTCAAAGTTTACAACTCCAATTTGTAAAAACATATAGCTTGAGTACCAAAGCCACATTTCATATTTCAATTTACCCAAAATTTTCATGAAATAAAAAATTGTCAAAAATAACAAATTTGTAATATAAGCGTCAAATGCTAGAATATAGAATACAGATAAACTTTTTTAAAATTAAAAAAAAAAAAAAAAAACGTGATTCATTTTAGAACAAAAAATTTATTTATTCGAATCTTTTAAAAAATGGTAATTTCTAAATTTTGAGCTAAGTGATAGATTTACAAAATTGAGCATAGTCACCGCATATAGAGTAAGTCAAATTGTTTAGGCTTTTAGATCAAATATGAGTGTTTTGGACGCGATCAGTCAACCTAAATTTTTTTATCAAAGTCAAACTGCTGCATGACTACTATCGATCACTACTGCATCACTAATCTTGGAATAATTGGTAATACCAATTTAAGGTACTAAGACACAATCCACCCAATGCCACCAATCCTCGTTCAGGTGAATCTTGGCTCTTTCTTACTTTTTTTAATAACAGAAATTAGCATATTCTAACAGGCACAAGAAGGTTAAGTATGAGATCCAAAACTTGTAGTCCTGAAGCCAAGTTCCGAAACTAGTGAAAGCAAAAAAGGGTGATACTACAAAGGAATAAGTCAATCACATAGTTTTTTCTAAACAACCAAAAACATATAAATTTTCAAATATACTCCAACTGAAAGAAGAGGAACAAAGATGCCTAAAACCTGCAGTGTCAAGATCTGTCACTGGGTTGTCCTTTTCAAAGATACTAGTTCGGGAAGAAGCACAACAACAAAAAAAAAAAATTTCAGAGAGAGAAATATCTGTAGTTTGTTTATCCCAACACAACTACTCAATAACACTTTAGAAATTTGAACTTTTTTACTCACTATGTGATAACTATTACTAATTGACTGCACTATTTCTCAAATGACTATTTTTGAATCAAGATTTCTCCATGTCATCAAGTAGGGTGCCCAGTGCTTCAGAAGCTGTAATTCTTCCTTCGGATTATGCAAAGCATTTCTGAAAACACAAACTTGTATGATACTAAGAACCAGAAATCTTCATGTGAACTCAAAATTTTCATTTTCTTTTCAGCATTTAACCAATAGATAGTTTAGAAATACTGAATTATCAATCTCATCTCTACAAGCTACAGAGACAGTTTCTCCAATACTGTAATATATATCTAGTTTTCTATGAAAAAACATTGATATTGTTGACAAATAAACCACATATGATGAACTAAATGAATAGCAAAAAAAACTTCAAAAATATATAATAATAATAATATTAATGAAATATATATATATTAATAATATTTAAAAGACACAAAGATTGCCTCCGTTCACTGCTAAGAAAGTTCCACTATACTAAAAGAAAAGAAGAGTTACAATATGGCTGCTGTGAAGACAGCAAATATATTGTTGGATTTACTGTCACCAAATTACCATAATACCCACCTTTGTACAATTTGAGTCAAGTGTAAACGTGCTATAATCCCAAATATCCAAATTATTTCAGTCAGGCCATATGTGGGCTAGGGCATTGTTAAAGCAAGAATAATAAGACTCATCTGATGAACTGAAATATTTGATTGTTAATAAAATATGGTGAAAATGGAACTTACGGAGAGAAGATCAAGCCGGCCGATTCAAGACCCGGGACTACTTCAGCCAGATTCTGCGTGGCAGAAGAAGAACAAGGCAGAAGCATTATTTTCTCATAACAAGATTTTCTCCAAAAAAAAAAAAAAACACATCTTCAAATGTATACCTGAGGTTTCACTAACTTGCAAAAGAATCTAAAAATCACAT